CGAGGAGAAATTCTGACTCAGAGTGAGTATGCCAGATGAGATAGGGAGAGTGTAGGGGAGGCCACGCCATGGAGGAACCTTTGGAAAATGGGTGAGAGCAAGGAGAGGGCAGAGGCTGCCAAGTGCAGGCTAGTGGAGCTTTTCAAGTGATGTGATAGAAGTAGACACCATGCAATAGAGGCTACTGAGCTTGGCAGGAAGGAGGGTCCTGGGAGACTTGGTGGTCGTCGGTAGTGATGGGGTAAGGGGAAGTGGGGCTGAGAGATTAGCAGGGGAGGTTAGGGGCTGCTAATAGCAAAAGGAGGGGGGCAGATGAGACGGTGGGGCATAGAGGAAGTGTGTTACTATGGTTAAGGGCCATCTGAGTGATTCGTGGCAACTGGAACTTCAGAGGCAAGCCATTTGAAGCCCCAACCGCAGATGCTGTGGGTTATCTCTTTGAAGTTTTGTGTTGTATGTTGCTCTCTGCATGTAACTATATTTACCTGGGATGGAAAGAAAAAATATCAACTTTCCAGAGGAATAAGGATCAGTGAGGGGATAGAAACCCAAGTGACTTGTCCAAAGGGGGAAACCAGATTGTGACCCAAACCGAGGTCTCCTGATTCACAGGAGAAAAATTTTCTGGGTGACAACAGCCTTCAAAACCACTACTGGATCCTGCCTCCTCCCACCTCCCTTTCCTTCTTTGCCTGAATTTCATTGGTTTGTTCATTTATCCATGTTTTGGACTTGGGCTAGTCATTTTAACTTTTTTTTTTTTTTTTTTGCTATCAGCCCATCTTCTTTTCCTATCTTCTTTTGTGGAGAACAGGTTCTTCACCTTCATCTGCCCTCCATTAGATTTTCTGAGCATCAAACAAAATAAAACAGAGATTCACATCTAGGGTTAGCATCTGGGGAGCAGGATGAAGCTTTGAATCTTTCTCTTCTCAGCAAAGAGCAGCACTAGGCCAGGTGTTCTGTGGGGCAGAAAATGGTCAGTAAAAGGGTTCGTTGGGGTTTTAATCTGGAATATTTCATTACTAGAATCAATTGCTTACAAGAAAAAGATCTTATAAGATTTAAACTTGTTATAAAATGTCATGAATTAATAGACGGTGATTCCAGGCAGTTCAGTGCTGCATGGAAGCGAAAGCAGTGAACATTCTCATCAGTGTGTTAACAGGTCTAGCCTGTAGATAGTGACTCCTTTCCTTCCTCAGTGCAGACTCTTACTTGCAGCAGAGTAGAAACACGACTTCTAGTAAGTGGTGCCTACGCCCATATCTCCTGACAGTTGAACAGTTGGAAGATCATATGGGATGTCTCATCATTAGCTTTGGCTCTTCCTGCCTTTCAGTGGACCAGTACACTTTGGGATTTCATTGATTTGCTACAAGATAATTTGGAGCTCTGGAAAGTCACAGAAACATCTGCTGGTGCTTATTTGTAGGAATGAGAAGATAGTGATTTGTATTTAACTCAGCTGCTTAGCATTTTGTCATTGTATCAACTTTCATTGCAAAATGGTTGAAACCTCTGGCCGTATACCAAATTTGCTAAAAAAAAATCAATGTTAAATTATATTTCAGTTTAGCCTAGCAGCTTGAGAAAGTTGAGGCAGTAGCAGTGTTCACAGATGGTTCCATCTTGTTAGCAGCGTGTGTAGTTCCTGGACCGCCTTGTGCGTAGTGTCCCCATTGCAACTCCAGCCCCAAGAGTCAGTAGAGCACAGGATGTGGCAGTGGGCTTGGAGCAGGGAAGGGGCTGGGCAGGCTGTCTGCGGGCACCTGGGGCCTCAGGAGGCAGGCCCTGCAGGTTGTCGGGGTAGAGGTTGGATGGGCAGTAAAAAACTCCCTCTACTGAGAGAATGGTCTGGATAGCTCTTTTGGCCAGGGTTGCTGAGAGAGGCTTTTCCAAATATTTGACAGCATGAGAGTGGAAAGCTGCTGGAGCCTCCTTGGGCTTTTCTAATGTTCCTTATAATAGGGTCCTTTCATGGAGGTTCCAGATAAGTAATGAAAAAAACAGAACTAGGTCAGCATCTTTCTTTGCAGGTTAAGAAAAAGTGCTCAGAGGTTTTATTTGGTTTTTAATTTGAGGTATTGCTAGAATAAATGACCTCAAAAATAGTAAAAAGTTTAAATTTGTTTATTACAAAATATTAAGCTTCTTGGTTTGTGGTATTAAATCTGCAACTAAAATTTACCCATTTTATTTAGACAGAAACTCTATGCCGAAGATATGGCTTTTGGAGCTTCAACTTTTCCACCTCAGTATTTATCTCCTGAGATCCCTCTTCATCCATATGCCTATTCTCCTTATACCCTGGAGTCGTCACAAAATGTTTGCCCAGTGCCTGGCTCCCAGTATGATTACAACCAACCCGGTTGTTTCGGAGGTTTTCAAACCGTGAAGCCACGAAACGAGCACGTGTGCCCTCTCCCGCAAGACACAAAAGCTCTGTTTAAGGTCTGTAAATGTTTTGGTTTTGTTGATCACTTTAGCATTTAAAACATAAAGAACTGGTAAGTTCTTGCGTGTTATTTAAGATATTTAAATTTTGAGATATTTAAAATTTGATACGGTCTAACCTTTCTAAAAAATGGTTGAGTTGTACTTATGAATTTGCAGATTTGAGCCTTTTTTATAGTGAATTTATGTTACTTTTTAATATGTTACTTTTCAATTATGTTTACTTTTTATTGTTTCCTGCAGAAGAAAACCTGTGATGAGCAGAAGTTTGACACTAAGAAGACTGATGGACCTATATCATCTGATCTAAAATCAGTTAAAAGTTCACCTCGTATGTCCATTCATGCTGAGAATAGTTTGAAATCAGGTAAAAATAACATGCTCTGTATGTTATGTCTTCCTACCTTGTCTACCCCCAGAAACGTCTCTGTTCTTTGAACTATTTTTGTGGGCTTACACATCATGAAAAACTGAGGCCATCAGGTTTCCTGTGGGATCCTGGGGGCCTTTCCTCCCGGGGAGGGAACTTGTTTGTGTGGGCTCTATGACGTGTCCTTAACATGTTATTACCTTGTTTTGTGCAAGAACTTCTGTTAAGTCACATAGCAAGTAGGTGATAATCACCCGCCTCAAAACAGTTGTTAAATAAAAGTGAATTACAGTCACATCCCTTGTACTATATTTGATCATGTTCATCCCTGAAATAGCTTCTCTGGTATTCTGTTGGGACACTTTTTAATACGTGGGAGAGTTGACTGTGGTTTAAATCCCATCCTAAACAATACTAAACCTGGGGCAGGACAGTCATTCAGAGGACATGTCTGCTCTGGTCTTGAAAACTGCTGTTCCAGTCTCTGGCTGAAAGTTAGTGATTATGCATGACGTCTTGTTTTTTTCATGTAAATTACTTACTATTGCACGTTGATCACAGCCATCATCTGTTTATATAATAACTTAAAACCTTTGTAATAGCGTACTTACTGGGAATGGTCTGTCATTTTATTTACATGTGTAATTTATTGTTACTTGATATGTAACTTTTTCTCTTGGTGTTGACTTCACTCATAAACTATCTGGTACTTGGTAATATGAAAGAAAATTTGAACAGTCAACTGTAATAACTCTAGCCTTACAATTAAATAATTTAAAAAATGCTGGGGCTTTATGGCATTGTAACCTGTAGCATCATTCATTTGCATTTGAAGGAGAAAGATGGGAAAGAGCTTATAAGTTTCGTTTTACTTGTTTCTCTGCAGTTTCTTTCAGCAAACTAAAACATGGAAATTTTATTATTTAAAGAAAATTTGTAAGAGTCCCCTTAATCTCACAAATCTCTAAAGTGTGTATTAAGAATAATTGAAATGCCCAGCTGCACAGTCAGGTTAAGGTAGCTATTTCATCCACTTTAGAGTTACTCCTAAAATTTGCAGTGTGTTTTCGTTTTTCTGCTTGGTGGCCCCCATGGTCATTTATGTTTTCCACTGTTACAGAGAAGGTTAACAACACTACAAAAAAATTAGGCTGTTTGGACAATAACGTGTTGCATCAATAGCAATAGACTTTCTACTCTGCAATTTAAGTGTGAGTACAGGTCATTAGACAACATCTAAATTTTTACCCCTACTTTTAATTCTGTAAATACAGATGGTTATTATAAACGAACAGACAGGAAATCCAGAATCATTGAAAAAAGTGGATCTGCCTCCAAACCTGAGTTTGAATTTACCAGGTTGGATTTTCCTGAACTGCAGGGTCGAGAGAACAGTGAGATACCAGAGATACAAAAGCAGCTCAAGTGGGGGCCTTTACGCTCTGCCTCTACTGACGTTTCTCTTCTAAGAGAAGTGGGGAAACCTGCTGCAGTGTTAGCAGAGGTGAGTGCAGCCTCCTGCTCTTTTTGTTCCCTTCTTTCTTCCTTTCTCCTCAGTGATGGGTAGTGATGCAAGGACATCACTTCAAATACTACACTTCACATCTTGGTGTGGGAGGGGCCTCTCAGTTCGCTTAGGTGACTTTCTCTGTTGTTTGAACTGTTTATAGTCAGCTGTAACACCTGGTGTGGCTATTCTTTCCAGAGAATCACTTAGCAAGTGTCTTCATATCTGGTGGCTAGAAAGCATTGCAGTGTCTCAGGAGGAGAGGATTGTAGCACGGGTTCCTGCTTCCACAGCACATTGTGAAAATGTTGTTTCTACCATTGCATTCTGGTAGCACTTTTTCCAATACAGGGAAAGAGATTTTTTTAAATCAAATAGTAATGTTAAAACTGTGTAGTGTAACTTCTGATTTTTCCAGGCTTTTTATCTGCACCTCAGTCTTGTCAATGATACGGAAAATGTCATTGCAATAAGTGCACTCAGTGCCTAATAATTTTAAATTGCACTGTATTCACCATTTGATCTCAAAGTTTTACTCCATCAAATTGACGCATTTTTCCTCTCAAACAGATTGATTTTGAGACTTCCAGGAAAAAACCTTATTGGGTTAGTAGTCCCTAAAATGGCTTGTGACAAATTGGGGCCCATCCCAGTATGGAGGTAAGGAGAAAGAAGAAACAATGAAGAAAACAGAGCTCACCAGTTCATTTACCTCTTGAATGGAGAAAGGATTTCCATTTCCTGTCCTAGCACTTCCCTTGGGTGCCTGGATACTAAACCCTCTGAAGACTTGATGGTAGTGGCTTATAATGTGCAGAAAATAAATCATTCCCCACATGTTGACCCTTAGACTATCATACCTTGGTGTTTTCCTTTTACACAGTGGTGATAAGTAAGGCCGATTGACTGATACAGAAGAATCACAGTTTCATTAGGCAGCTTTGTGACTGCTTTCTGGGCCCTGGCTGGGTGTATGGAATAGCTGAGTAGTCGAGGGGCTCCATGCTTTCATCATGGGTGGTCAGTGGATAATTCTAAACCCGTGAGCACTGTACAAAAGTAGGACAGAGTACAGCGGGTCCAGGGTGAGTGGAAGCATGACTGACACTTTATGTCATGGTCACTTGTTACATATGAGTACTGCATATGTGGACAAGAAGTAAGACATATCATGCTATGTGGGGAGATGTACATACTCATTGCTTTATATATTCACACTCTTGAATTATGTGTGGAGTATTTTTTTGTTTTTTTCCCATTTTCCCTCTAAAAGAAACCTTTTTTTCCTGATGGTATTAGTAACATCTTTCAACGTGAGGAAAATATTCAGGAAAAAAAAAATTGTCTGAAGCTGTACAACCAAGAGAAAACCATGTTTGACACTTATTCTTTTTTTAATGGTACATTGTGGGAATTGAGGGGCATTCCTTTCAATTTAGGATACACATGTATGATACAAGCTTGTGTTTGAATTTTTCAAAACTTGTGGTAGTTTTTCCATGTCATAAAATATTTTTTGAAAATATAACTGTTGCATTGAATCTTTGGTATTGATATATATAATTTACTTAACCATTCTAGAATAGGTAAGCCATTTCTAGTGTTTCATTGGCTTTGGTGAGCATAAAAGTTACGTTTACTCAAAGAACAGGCTGTGTTTTAATCATTTATGTTATTTTATTTTCTCCTTTGATGAATTTATTTTTTTTTAGTTAACATAATTGCCTTTACATACTGTGTCTATCTGGAGCCCCATAGAGAACACAGCAGCCTATAGGATGGGGCCGGAAGAGAATTTGTTTCTCAGTGTGCAGTCACTTCCACAGAGCTATGCTGATGCCACATCACCTCCTCCAGGACTAGCCCAGTGTTTTGGAAGCTGAGAAAGGTGCTAATAGAAGGGAGAATGGCATCTTTCTCTTTGCCAGACTCCCAACCTCCCCATGCCTTTGGAGTTTCCAGAAATGTTTCATTAAAAATAAAAATTCACTTCCCCAGTCACCCTTGTTTTGCATCCATTTAGTAGTAGCGAAATGAAATTATCGAGATTCTGTTCAGAGGTTGGGCCTCAGTCCTGCAGTGGATTGAAGCAGACAGCTTCGCACTCCTGGGATGGGGTGGGTTCTCTAGGCGGCACCTCCTGCAAGATTGGTATGGTGTGCATCTGTCAGGCAGTAATTTGGAATTTGCAGGTTAGCAAGTGACACCTGCCTGCCCAGAGAGCCCTGCCTGATGTCTGTAGGGAAGTGGTGGGTCCTCTGGGGAGGCCCTGGGGCAGGAAGGCCCAGGGTGAAGTAGGTATTTCCAGGCCCTTAGTGAGCTCTACCACGGGGCCAGGAATCAGTGGATGCCACATGGAGGATTTTGCTTTATTTCTATTTGTATTGAAAATGGGGGCTTTCTGTCCTAGTTAAGGAACATGTTCTTTCCATTGTTCTGAAACAGCTCTTGGAGGTTAACAGGCTTCTACTATCCAAGCAGAGAAGTGGCACAAGGCATATTCAGCATAATCAGCTATTTTGGGGTTTAACCTCTTGGAGGTTAACAGGCTTCTACTATCCAAGCAGAGAAGTGGCACAAGGCATATTCAGCATAATCAGCTATTTTGGCCACTGAACAATTCTTTTTTTTTTTTTTTTTTTTTTAACTAGGCTTAGATGGAATGGAATGGTAAAATGGATAAGTTTATGAAACATATGAACTCCAGAATTTATTTTAAATCCATTCAGTGTGAATTTATCATTTTCCTTTCACCTTGGCTGCTGGTCATTTTGAGGTCTCTCTTAATGTACTCACTTGTCCCCAAGTGTCGTTTGGTGCCTCTTCCATGCATGTGGCAGCTTTCTGTCTGTGAAAGGGAGTACGTATTAGAAGGCCTGTATTTGTTTTTGTGGGTATGTTCAGGGATTTTTTGAGCCTTGGTGTGGGGGTGTGGTGAACGACAGCTTTTGCATTCACAGTGGGCACTTCGGCTCTAAGAATCGTGTAGGTACATCTGTGCTGATTTGGAAATTGTTGGTTGTATGTTGGTTTTTTTCCCCTAAGTTACATGATACTGCGTGTGGTGTGATCCCATTATGGAGATCCATTTAAAATAATATACAAATGTTTATGTCCTAAGCAAAGAAATAGAAGGATGCTAGCTAAGCTGTAGACGGTGGATGGTTTTTCCTCTAGGGAATGAGATTTGGCAGAAGAAAGTAATTTAATTTTTCACATAATGTACTTACGTGTTTGGAATTTTTAATTAGCGTATGTTTTGCAGGTTTTAAGAATGGCGAAGGAAACTATATATTTCAAAAATAATGATTACTTTTATTCTGAAATAGTAAGAAAAGAACTGGTTTGTTTTTTAGGGTGAAACAGTGGTGAAGAATAATAATCGGACCGGATCTGTAACTGATAATGCTGCTACCAGTCCCTCTTCATGTACAAGAGGTAAGAGTGGGCTACCAAATATTATTTTAAAATATAAAAATTGTCTATTGTTGTCTGTTTTCTTAGTTCATTTTCAGTCTAGTGCAACTGAAATGTTTTTGTTTTAAAGCCTTCTTTAAGGCAGCTGATGGGTTGATAAACTGGCATCATTGTTAGAAGACTGAAGTAAGCAAACGAGATCCCACATCCATGCACAAGGAGTGTAAACTACGTACAAGTAAAGCATTCTAAATGAAATGTTTGTTCGGTTAAGTGAGAAATTTTATGAACTCAGAAATGATTACTTTCTTAAGCATTACCTATATCAGTGGTTCTCATAGTTTTTGGTCTCAGGACCTCCTTAATACCCTTTAAAAGAACCCCAAAGAATTTCTGTTTATTTGGATAACTGTCAATATTTGTAATATCTGAAATTAAAACTGAGAAATACAAAATACATACTAATTCACTTTAAAAGTAACAATAAACCCATTACAGGTTAACATAGCACATTTTAATTAAAAAAAATAACTATTTTCCATAGTTAAAAAACTAGTCAGGAGAGGAGAGCAGCCTTTACGTTTTAGCAGCTCTTTAATGTCTGGCTCAGGAGATCTGCTTCGGCATTCACCTGTTTCACTGTTCTCTGTCGTACAGCCTCTGGAAAACCCCACTGTACTACGCTCATGGGAGAGTGAGAGTGGGGAAGGCAGATGGCACATTCCTGTTACCAGGAAAACAATTTTGACTGTGGACCCCTGAAAGGGTCCTAGGAGTCTCAGAACTTTGAGAACTGCTGGTCTGTCCTGACCTGGCCCAGAAGTGAGATATTCAGAGAGAGTTCAGTAGATTCTGCTTTTGAAGTTTTTGTGAGTAGCTTGTCCTAACAGAAGACCTTTTCACAAAATTATTCTAGATTTATTCACAGGTGTGTTTTCAATTGCGTTAGCATGTTTGGTACGTATGTGGTTCAATAAAAGACCTTCACTTTAGCAACTGCTGTGAAGATGCATAGCTGTGTGGTGACAAGAACAGCCTGTCTCCCCACTGTGGGGTAGCCACAGGCTGCTGACATGACCTGCCCGTGTCCTGAAGGATGTCCTTTTGTTTTGTCTGTATATAGAGTTTCATGGGCACCTACGGAGTAGTGTTGCCATACTTATGCCTATGTTCTAGAAAGAAATAAATTACCAGTTATTGCGATAGCTGAAGTTTAGTGATCTTTGATTTCTGATGTTAAAGGTACACATCAAGGTTAGTAGGGCCACAGTTTGCTCTTTAGCTCATTATATCTGTGTGTTTGCCACGTGGATGTATTTGTGGATTATTGTTTTTTAATGGAAACTTTTTTGTTTACCACCTGCACCTCTAAGTTAAAAGAACAGTTCCTAGGAAAGTCAGTTCCCCTTACAAGTTAATTCAGCATGCATGTTCCAAGAAGAAAAACAAATTTAGTGGATACTGTAGTTTCCAAGAGAATGTTCTTGACAACACCTTAATTTAACTATGCTCTTGAGTACTTCATGTAATGCATGCTTGGAATTTCTAAGGAATTTCTTTTTACTGTTGGGATTGTTCAACAATTTTGGTTATCTTTGAGCAGAATTATCTTGGACACCAATGGGTTATGTTGTTCGGCAGACATTATCTACAGAACTGTCACCAGCCCCTAAAAATGTTACTTCCATGATAAACCTAAAGATGGTTGCTTCATCAGCAGATCCTAAAAATGGTAGTATGTCATCTTCTGAAGTTTTATCTTCGGAGCCTTCGTACAAAGAGAAACATGTTGTCCATCCTACTAAAAAGGTACGTGTCACAGTTTGATTATGTTGCTCTTCTGTACCACTGGATTGTCTTTTTTTCTCAAATCCTAACTGAAAGTGTTTCATTTGGTACTGTAGGCACTAATCTGAGTTGGTTGTATTCAGTACTTGAATTGAATACAGTCTAGGGACACAAGTGGTAGCTTTTATACACAAGTAAGGACGTGCATGTTAGACCTATGGTCTTAAAATATCTGTGGACCATTTTGAATTCTTTACAAGAGAGATTCTGGCAGTAGCTTATGCTCTGGTATATAAAATACCGCAGTCTTTTGTCTGTTGATTTTACATTGCTTTTACCTACCAGGTACTGGTAGCAAGATAATTGTGTGCCACATTTTGCGATCATCATGTATGTTAATTGATTCTTGGTTAATTGCAGCTACTTACTATAAAATAGCATTTCAGAATCCATTTTTTCCTTTCAATTCAAATAATTTTAAGTTGTTATTTTTCAATCCCTAGATTTCTTTCTTGAAGAGCCTTTTTTACTGGGCTAGACTTTGGGTTTGATTTTCATTGTGTACTGATAACATTATTTTAAGTTGAAATATGGTCATATTTGTTTAGTGCTGGTTTCCTATCTTTTTGAGTGTTAGAATACTTTTTGATATCGAAAGTGTCTTAGACCATCCCACACAAACAGGAGCTGCGTGTTTATGCTTGGTTGATTGAGAAATCTCTGCTGGTAACAATTAATGGTGAAGTCAGACCTGTGTGCCTGTTCCCTACAGCTTTATGCACATACTTGTGAAACACAGGATGCGGCTGTGAGGCCCCTCCAAGTACACATGGAGACTGGCCAGCTCCAAGGCCCCGCTGGTGTCGGGGCGCAGGCTGCACAGTAGACCACCAAGTCACCATCTAAATGAGCTTTTAACACTCTTAAGAGTTAACAGATTTTATTTTATTTTCCCAGCATCTTTTTAAAAATTATCTTTTAATTAGAGGTGTAAGAAAAGTTTATTTTTGAGAAGTCCCAAAATAAAGATGAGAAAATGAGGATCTCCTGTAATCCTATGACCCAGATGGCTTTGCATTGTGGTCATAATGTTTTTTTTTCCCCTTCTAAAACTTTCTGTATTGTGAATTTTTATTACTGAAATAGCACCTGTAATACTACAAGGATCTAATTATGGAAAAGGTCCTTTTCCCATAGCCCTTTGGTCCCCACCCCTCTAGGAGCCTCCATTAACAACTTGCTGTCTGTTTTACCTCAGGGCTCCTGAAAACATAAATAAAGATGTTTATTTTGTTTTAAGTTTTTTTTTTTTTTAAAACAGAAATGCGGGGACTTCTCTGGAGGTCCAATGATTAAGACTTTGCCTTCCAGTGTAGGGGGTGCAGATTTGATCCCTGGTTGGGTAGTTAAGATTCCACATGTCTTGTGGCCAAAAAAACCCATAAAACAGAAGCAATATTGTAACAAATTCAATAAAGACTTTAAAAATGGTCCTAAAAACCCATGATTTTTGCTTTTTTTTTTTGTTGTTGTTCTAGTCCAGAGCATCACAAGGTGACGATCCTGAGCAAAATGAAGCCTCAAGGAAGAATAAGAAAAAGAAAGAAAAGTCTAAATCAAAATATGAAGTCCTGACAGTTCAAGAGCCACCAAGGATTGAAGTATATTTACATTTATTACTCACCTTGTTTGATATAATAAATGGGTCTTCCTTAATAGAAATGGGTTCATACTCGTTGCTGAAGTAAAAATTCTCCAACATTTTCTTTAATAATTGTAGTGCTGGGCTTCCCTGGTGGTGCAGTGGTTGAGAGTCCGCCTGCCAATGCAGGGGACGTGGGTTCGTGCCCCGGTCCGGGAAGATCCCACGTGCCACGGAGCGGCTGGGCCCATGAGCCATGGCCGCTGAGCCTGTGCGTCCGGAGCCTGTGCTCCGCAATAGGAGAGGCCACAGCGGTGAGAGGCCCGTGTACTGCAAAAAAAAAAAAAAAAAAAAAAAAATTGTAGTGCTAAAGAAAATAGTTGTCACCCATTTTCTTCAGTTCTTCATTTTGGTGTCCCCAGTGCAATGCCCATCTCATAGCAGGTTCTCAGTAAACGAATGAATGGCCTAGAGAAAAAACTACTTGTATTGAAATTTAATGGTGTGTATGCCCTACTACTAATATATACCCCTCAGTATCTTCTGGTCTGTTTTTTTCTTTGCTTTGGCATGCTGGCTTCTGCAGGGCCTCCTTTTCTATCTAGATGTTTTGGTATAATATGCTCCACTATTGAGAGAAACTTAGAATACTGTAGATCTGTCGTGGACCCTGGTCAAGAAGAGAATATCATGAACTTCCGAAAGTGCTCTTTAAATTGTTGTCCAGTGATACTCCAAGAATGTCTCTGTTCTCCAAGGAGCCATCCTGGATCCTGATTATGTTTCTCATGGGTCTGCAGTACCAGACTCAGCAGCCTGGCTCCTGGTGCTGGCAGAAGGGTCTCTCAGCAGTACTCCCAGGCAGCCAGCTTAGGGTCAAGCCCGAGGTGTTCCCACAAACTCGAGGGGCTCCCAGGGCTTTTTGAACATTCCCTTGAGAGTAATGGGGTTGCATGTTTGAAAACCTATGACTGCGGTAGAGCATTATTGTTTGGGCCAACAAATAACTCATTATTTCTGCCCACATTTTTCACATAATTTCTCCAGGGTCCCTAAAATGTTGACAGAAACACATAAGACATTTTAAAATGATTTAAACATTGTTTAGAGACCTGTTCCTTTGTTTCTTTTTTCTAGTCTAGGATCAGCACATGTGACAAGATGCTTACATCCCCTGAGTCCAGATTGATGGTTTCCCTACAGAAAAGCATAGTTGAAGGATGGGTGCTTGAAAACT